CAGGGAGATTGATGTATCCCTCCCTTGATCCTTTGTTGTTAACTAACTCTGTGTCTGTGGATTATAGCATGAATATCCTCTACTTTAAAACCAATATTAATGTATAAAGGAGTTTACACTATTGTCATTTGTATTGTTGGGTCTTGAGTTACGTTGAATCCTAATTTTCAGAGAAACTGACATACTGTTTTCCAGAGTGGTTGTACAATTTGCATTTCCACCAGCAATGGAAGAGTCTTCCCCTTACTCCCACATCCTCTCCAGCATAAGCAGTTATTGGTGTTTTTGATCTTAGCCATTCTGACAGGTGTAAGGTGGTATTGCAGAGTCATTTTGATTTGCATTTCCCTGATGGCTAAGGATGTTGAACATTTCCTTAAGTGTCTTTTGGCCATTTGAGATTATTCTATAGAAAATTCTCTGTTTAGTTCTGTACCCCATTTTTAATTGAATTATTTGAAATTTTGATGTTTAATTTCTTGAGTTCTTTATATATTTTGGAGATCAGTCTTCTATCTTATATGGGATTGGAAATTTATTTTCCCATCCAATAAGCAGCCTTATTGTGTTATTGACTGTGTCCTTTGCTTTGCAGAAGTTTCTCAGTTTCAGAAGGTCCAATTTATTTATTTTTCCTCTCAGACTCTGCGTTTCAGGTGTTATATTTAGGAAGTGGTCTTCTGTTCCATGCTTGTTAAGCTACTTTTCACTTTCTCTTCATATTTATCGTTGTGAGCCTAGCCTTTAATGGCTGAGCCTTCTCTCCAGCCCTCACTTTCTCTCTTTTCAGTTGCAGTGTGATCAGATTTATATTAAGGTATTTATCCCCTTTGGACTTGAGCATGGTGATAGATATGGATCTATTTGCATTCCTTACATGTTGATATCCAGTTATGCCATAACCATTTGTTGCAGATGCTTTCTTTTTTCATTGTATAATTTTAGCTTATTTGTCAAAAATCAGGTGTTCATAGGTGTGAGGATTAATATCTGGGTCTTTGATTCAATTCTGTCATTCAATCTGTCTGTGTTTTTGCCCATCATCTCTTCCTCAAACCTCCAAAATGAACTGTTTGCTTAATTAAAACATATGTTCCCAGGTGTCTCAATCATCTCAGTGTACCATTTTGATACTGTCCCTAGCAGTGTGTAGTCCAAACCTGGTGTTTAGATGGTGAAACAATTACAAAGTGCAGTTGAAATCTTCCTTGCGTGACTCACACTTCTTTTGGAGACTTCAGAGTCACTGTAATGCATGCTCATATTTCATTGCAAAAAAACTTAATCATTTTAATTGTCATATGCAGCAGATCTGTAAGAGGTTAAAGATGAGTATTTGTTATGTATGCGTAGATATCAGAGAGAGACTCAAACCCAAAATTAAATACAGGAAGCTAGATGAAACCTTTCCCTAGAAATAGTTATTTCCCTATATGATCACTAATATTATGGCTAAAGAGATATTTGTTGTTAATTTCTCCCAAGAAATTACTGTAAGCTCTTTGCCAATGTTCACTTCCTGTCCATAATGATTCAATTTCAACATTAGTAAAACATGCTAAATTTTTTTATTGAGAAAAGGAGGAAAAAAAAACAAGTTTCCACCTCCTCCCAGCCTCCCATTTCCCTCCCCCTCCTCCCACCCTTCTCACCCTCCTCCCACCCTTCTCCCCCTCCCCCCACTCCTTTCCCCCTCCCTCTCCAGTCCAAAGAGCAGTCAGGGTTTTCTGCCCTGTGGTAAGTCCTAGGTCCTCCCCCCTCCGTCCATATCCAGGAAGGTGAACATCCAAACTGGCTATGCTCCCACAAAGCCAGCACATTTAGCAGGATCAAAACCCCGTGCCATTGTCCTTTGCGTCTCATCAGCCCTCATTGTTCGCCATGTTCAGAGAGTCCAGTTTTATCCCATGCTTTTTCAGTCACAGTCCAGCTGGCCTTGGTGAGCTCCCAATAGATCAGCTCCACTGTCTCAGTGGGTGGGTGCACCCCTTGTGGTCCCAACTTCTTTGCTCATGTTCTCCCTCCTTCTGCTCCTCATTGGGACCTTGGGAGCTCAGTCCAGTGCTCCAGAGCAATAATGACGAATATCTTGCATATCATCATAGAATCTTCATCTGGTGATGGATGGAGATAGAGACAGAGACCCACACTGGAGCACTGGACTAAACATGCTAAAATTTAACCTTGGTAAATTCTTGCTAATAGACAAAGTTTCAGTTTTCTTTTTAAAAACAACTCAGTTTCTTTTTCCACATAACTTTTTAGTCTTTCAGTATGTTTATATGTTTAAAATATCGATTATAAGATAATATCTTTCCTCTGCAGTAAAATACCTATAGGGAATGCATAGAGCATAAAATGTCTAGAATGACGGCCAGGAGGTGGTGGCTCAAGCCTTTAATCCCAGCACTTGGGAGGCAGAGGCAGGTGGAGGTCAAGGCCAGTCTGGACTAGAAGAGGTAGTTCCAGGACACATTCCAAAGCTACATAGAAACCTGTATCAAAAAAAAAGTCTTGAATGTAACCAAACTCCAGATCCAAACAATCCATAAGTACCTTTTATAATTTTATTTCTACTAAACCATTTTTTTCTGCTTTAGATGATAATTCTCTTTGACTTGTCACCTTTCATGGTTTGGTTCTAATTACTATTTTCAATTTTTTACTCCAATAATGGGATATAGATGGTCAATGTCTTGCAACAATTTCTGAAATTTGTTAAGATTCCACATATAACCTCTCCTAATTTTTAACTTTTGGGCTCATATTTTTATAACACTATTTTATATGCTGAATAATTAATACAATCACCTTTTTGTATATTTTCAGAAGTAATTCCCAAGGAGACAAAGTTTGCTTTACTTCACCAACCATTTTCTCTAAAGTATTTACATTTGAATCAGCTAATGAAATTCCATATAATGTTGAAAACATACCTAACTTGAGTATAATTTCCATTGTAATAAATAACAAAGTACTAACATCCAGTACTTTATATCCTAATTGGTTTATAATAATAACTTTCAAGGACTAGAAATTTTCATTACATGTTTAAGTGAGTTAAATTAGATAAAATGGTTTGAGTAAGAATATAAAAATCATAGACAGTATGTTTTGATAAAAATGTCAAGTTTATATCAAAAGGGAGCATCCATATCTATATCAATATAAAATATATAAATAAGTAGTTGCCTTTTTAAATTAATTTTAATGATCTATACTTTTACATCATACACATATATGCCCCTTTATTTTTTTTTTAGATTCAGTAATGTACACTTTTATCCTATCATTTCATTGGGTGCCTTTTGTAAGTGGATGTATATTTATGAATATATAGAGCTGGTTTTGGAGAAAGACACTGGCTCTGTCCCTCTATAAATCCAAGCATGTCATTAAAATAAAAATTCAGAGTTTCTCTCTCAATGTCAGGATCATGGGACAGAAAGAAGAATTTAGAAAAATTTTCACTTTTCTACATTTCTACTTTCAAGTCTATTGTACATGTCATTGAATATATATGTCTGTATATGACTATAAATAATGTTTCAGTTTTCCACAATGCACAATGAATTTTCCTGCAGTAATTTCTGAAGTTTCAGGAAGAAGTTGGGGCCCCACAACAACAACTCAACCTGGTTGATACAATGGCATGATGATGATAGTGCTACTACCAGACGTGTTTCGCATACCAGATGCTCAAGATGGTTCCAACCTGGTTAGCTGAAATGGTCCACTTTTTACAATGTTCTGGACAGACCTTATAAGAAGAAGATCAGAAAAACTTTACATAATACTCAGAGACTATTTGCAGTTATACCAGACAGTAATCTCGGAACTTAACCATCATTTTAGTTTCGCAGGATCCCATAGAAAGAACATCGCCCCCATGACAGCTAGAAGTAATTCTAAAAGACTACATCCCCTCTACCAACAAAGTTTGTCCTAGGGTTAGGGACATCATTTAGGGGTTGGTTATAATTGGTATAGGGTTGTGGGTTGGAAGGGAAATTTTATGGGCTCAGGGATTTCTTTGAAATAAAAGGGAAAATTGGATGGAATAAGATAGTGTGAGTTTACATACATTAATAATAAGTAAGTAATAGAGTGAATTCTTGTGAGTTATAATTTATAGGCAATTGCTTTGATATAGATTTTTGTATGTTGATATAATGTTAAATATTGAAAATTGTATGCATTCATGCTTCTACCAATGCTTAAAACATTTTATATATTAATAAATATATTTATCAAATTGCAATGTACGTTTCTTCCACTGATCAAGATACCTATTCATTGGTTACATTTTGAGCCCATTGTCCTCATTTGTTGTACAGTTGTTTATTGTACAATATTCTAATATGAAGTCTTAGTCTTTAAGTTATATAGGTATTAGAATTATAGATCAATAGTCATCAATGTTTGTCTTACTTATAGTTAGAATAATCAGGTTTTTCACACACATGAAGAATAAATGTTGAATAGATAGGTAAATCAGCCACTTCAAACAGCTGTAAAATATGGAATTTAAATAACCTAGGGTACTGTTGAAGTGAGACACAATTACTACTGGTAGCATTGTCTATTTTCCAGAGAATGTTGAGCACCGGAGACACTCAAAGCTTGTTTTCTTGTTGTCAAAACTGGCCTTTGGGCAAAGACATGCTCATGCCTCAACCTCTGACAAAATACATGGTATACAAAAATGGATAAGCAGTTCTGTTAAATCTTGACTGGCATTCATCTCAGAAACAAATATACCTACCTCTGTTTGCTGAGCATTGTGGTAAAGGCAAAATACACCAATAAGCCCAGTTTGCCCATCTTTTTTTTCCTTTCTGTAGGCATTAATTTTCTCATGCATACAACATACTGTTGATCTTTTCTCTTTTTCTTTCCCCATGAATAGATACTGCTCATATAAGGAGGTATCCTAAACAAATGACACAGAAATAACAGAATTGATTCTCCTTTTCAATTTCCTTCTAAAGTGACTGTCGATGTCATGGAACAAGAATGGGGAACACCAGAATCGTAAAACTATACTGTCAAAGAAGTATGCATTTCACTCTCATACTTACACTGTACTCATATATGGTATATTTTTGAAGGAAGTGACCTATGATGATGTGCACATCAACTTCACTAAGGAAGAGTGGGATTTACTGAATCCTTCCCAGAAGAATCTCTACAAAGATGTGATGCTGGAGACCTACTGGAACCTAACTACTATAGGTGAAAATGAATTTCTTTCATGTTTCAAAATATGGAGACAACTTTTCCTTGGTTTATAATTTTGTTCTGTAATTTGTTTTAGAGAAAGAATAACAGGGTGAATAACACAGTCACAGTTTTTAGGTGCACTTAAGATAATAAGCTAATTGTTGCACATTCTTAAATAATATAACTTCTATTCTGGTACTGTATTTTAGGATACTTTTGGGAAGACCTTAACACCAAAGAGCATTGTCAATGTTCTAGAAGACATGCAAGGTAATTTTCTTGGGCAAGTTCATAACAATTTCCCTTAAATAGTTTGTAATGTGTTCTGGAACTTTAAAACAAAAGCAAAAGTGTAAATAAGCACAGCTTTAAATATATTGATGGTTATTAAGTTCTCACAAATCCATATACCTCAATTTCTTGTATATGAATTGCATCTGCAAAGCCTTCATTTAAGAAAAAGTCTAGGTAGCAATGCCTAAACAGATATCACCATTTGATTCATAGCATCATGAGAGCTATGTTGTAGAACTGCTGCTTCATTTGCTTCTTGCTATTCATGACAGAAAATGTATACATATTTCAATGATGATGAGTATAGCTGCAAAACTTTCTACTAATTCAATAGCCCATGGTAAGCCTTGTATCACTCATATACTTTTTGTGACTGTGCTAAGTTTAGTGAACTCAGATTAGTCAAGGGTCAAGGGGCAGTGATGTGGAAAAACCTTAATATCTATACCTCAAGTCTCTGAAAGTTGAACCTTGTGGATTCATTTTGGAAATCTTTTATACACTATTCTTTTTTTCATATATATATATATATATATATGATTTTTTCATATATATATGGTATGTTACTCTTGACACAAGTGTATGAGCATAGGAATATGGAATAGGAATATGGAAATATTTAGCATACCTCTCCTTAAGAACAATTAAGAAGATAAACTGTAGTTCCTACATAGAGTATACATGTTTAATTTGATCCACAAATACAAATTTAATTTATTTTCTATCATCATGGTTAATACATAAATACAAACTCACATTACAACAAAAACAAACAAACAAACATGAGTTATAGGTCTATGCAAATACTTCTGGGTGTCTTAGTTCACTTACCAAATGTATAATGATTCACAATATAGTAAAATTATGAATGGAGTAATGTTTGTAAATGTTGTAATAAGAGTGGCGGGATACGTTCCTGGCACCCGGCCACCCGCATGGCTAGCATTATCCGAAATAATTACACGGAAATTGTTTTCTTTTAAACACTGTCTGGCCCATTAGTTCCAGCCTCTTATTTGCTAACTCATACATATTGATCTAACCCATTTCTAATATTCTGTGTAGCACCTTGGGCTGGTGGCTTACCAGGGAGGATCTTAACCTGTGTTTGTGTCTGATGGGAGAATCATGGCGACTCACTGACTCGGCTTCTTTCTCTCAGCATTCTGTTTTCTTTACTCCACCCACCTAAGGGTTGGCCTATCAAATGGGCCTAGGCAGTTTCTTTATTGCTTAACCAATGAAAGCAACAGATAAGATACAAGACCCACCTCCATCATTTCCCCTTTTTCTGTTTAAACAAAAAAGAAAGGCTTTAACTTTAACATAGTACAATTACATATAGCAAAACAGTTATCAAGCAAGAATTACAGTTACAATATTTATATCTATTTTATCTTTTATCATAACTAAGGAAAACTATAACTATTTATTTATTCTTCAACTCCATCAAGACTCCAGAGTGATATAATATTACCTAAGTAAACAAGAAATCCAAAACTCTAGAAATGACAGAGACATCTTGCTCCCTGTACAGTCACCCAAAGTTCTTTTGTATCGTTGGGGCATCCGTCTTCGGCCTTCAGACCCATAGTGTTCAGCAGACATTTCCATGAAGCAGGAAATTTCAAAGACAGTTCAGTCACTTTCTGCTGTGTCCTGCAGAATGTCTTGCAGACTCTTTCATGAATCAGGAACCCCGAAAGAACATCTTGCCTTTAGGCAAGTTCAGCTGTCCTTTCTCTGCGGGTTCTTTGTGTCCAGTTTATGCAACAGTCCAGGCAAGAGCAGTTTCTTGCCCAAATGGCTATCAAACTACATAAGGAGCCTCTTCGATGCCCATCTTCCTCTTGAAGTAGCTTGATGCTGCCAGGAGCAGATGTGTCTCATTGTCATGAAAAGCCCTAAGGGATTAAAACATTTAAATGCCATATTCTTATTCTGCAGTCTTTAAAAGATATAAAGAATACCTATCTAACTGAAATATATCTCTATATATAACCTGAATATCTAACTAACATGACTACAAGCTTGACTAATATTTATGATTATCCATCAACAACCTGTATTTCCTAATTATACATTACATTTTAAAAATGAACTACACAATCACAATACCTTAATCAAGACACTGAAATACATATACGTATAACAAAATTGACCTTAAAATCCACACCAATGCAAATTATTCATACCTATATCATATCCCCCTTTAAATGTAAAAGAACATTTATAAACAATATTTGGGAACATGGGCACAGTTTTTTTCTCTCCAAACTGCTTCCTGCTGAATGGGGGTGCTGTTATTCAGGTCTTTTATGGGATAACCTGTCTGCTAGGTTCATCTCAGTCGGCAGTTGAGTGAAGTAATTTTCTGAAGGTGTTCACAGCAACCTCTCAGGAGGGCATGATCATACCATATTGGGATAGACACAATCCACAGGGTCTCATCCTCTGTGAAAACAAAAGAAGAAACTCCTTTCCAAAGCATCATATCCTTAAACCAAAATTCTGAAGTCATAATACCCTTATGAAATCCATTCTGGTTCAGCTTGGTAGCCCATGTAATAAAATGTCTCTCTGTACTTAGCTCCTGTACAGTCAAAAATTTTAAAGAAAGCACAATAATACAAAGAATCCAGACTCGCTGTGAATTTTCCATTTTTATGTGTCTTATTTTTACTCTATCAGTTTACTTTATTCTGTCTCTTTAAAGACTTTACCCTTTTTTTAAAGACATTAACTTTATTCTTTATATTCTTTTTCTTCTCTCTCCCAAGCCTACGTACATTCATCCAACACTGTGACTCATTTAGTGGTCTTTTATGTCTGAATCTGTTTTATTGTGAATCTGTAATTTTTTTACTATCCAGGAGCATTTCTTAAAATGTTAAGCAGTTCTTAAAAACTTAAGTTGCACCATGTACAGGTAATATGGTACCACCTGAGTCCTGCCTAGTCTAAACCTTAACCATGCTATTATTATGGTAATTACGGTAGTTCCTGCTGAGACCAGCATAGTTCAGCATGGTTGAGCTGAGCCTCTCCTGCCTCAGAGCCATTTGGTGCCCCTGAGCCACTCACAGTTCCAGGCACACGGCAGTCCACATCGCCATCAAGTGAGGTGTACGACTTTACTCCAAATGCTCCATTCAACAGCTCTGTCTCCAGCAGGAGCCAGACAGATATGGTGATGGCGGCACAGCCCAGAAAGCCGGCATTTTAAAACAGCCAGTTTTTTCCTGCTGCTGAGTCAGGAAAACTTCTTTGTGGCAAGCCACCCACAAAAAGCCAAAGCTGTATTAAACTCTCTCCCTTTTCTAAAGACCTCTCAGGTTTTTAAGTGGATGTAGTCCATCACGTTAGAGAGCCACTCTGTCATAATATGAGTGGGTGGGTGCCAGGAACGTAGCCCGCCGCTCTTATTACAACAGGTAAAGCACTCAGTATATGCAGTTCTCTTCAAAAATGTAAAAAATACCCTAGAAAAATATAGGTAGTGTTATAGATGAAAAGATAAACCATGACACAATGGAATTTATCATCACAAAAATTTTTTCTAGATGTAAAATGACCCCCAATGAGAGAACAAAACATGATTTTAAACAAAGCTATAAAACCTTGATATTAGATTCCTGTTTACAATTTGAAAAAATATGAAGTTAATTCATATAGGTATAAGGTTCAACTGCATTGAATGTGGTAAAGCTTTTACATGTGTAAATTTTGCTTGCAGGATTGAAAGAAATCAAACTGGAGAAAAGTTTTCAGTATATTCTCACTGTGGTAAAGTCTTGTCTTATAACACTCATCTTCTAAGGAATGAAAAAACACATAGCGGAGAAAAATGCTGTGAAATTAAGCAATGTGATGAAGTCTTTTCTTGTCACAATCATCGTGAAATGCATAAGAGAACACACAGTGGAGAGAAACCCTATGAATATGTTCAAGATAATAAAGACTTTCTGTATGTAACTCATCAAAGTCATAAACGAAAACATACTGGAGAGAAAACATATGAATGTAATCTGCATGGTAAGGTCTTTGCTGATCAGAGCCATCTTCAAAAGATTAAAAGAATATATACTAGAGAGACACCCTATGAATATAATCAGTGTGGTAAAGACATTACTCAATGTACTGTTTTTCAAACACATAAAAGAATACAAACTGGAGAAAAACCATATGAATATAATCAGTGTGGTAAGGCCTTTGCACGTCATATTCATCTTCAATTGCGTAGAAGAACACGAACTGGAGAGAAAACATTTGAATATAATCGGTGTGGTAAGGCCTTTGCACACTACAGTAATCTTCAAAGCCATAAAAGAACACATACTGGAGAGAAACGCTATGAATGTAATCAGTGTGGTAAGGCCTTTGCATGGCACAGTGGTCTTCAAAGACATAAAAGAACACATAATGGAGAGAAACCTTATGATTGTAATCAGTGTGGTAAGGCCTTTACACGACATAATCATCTTCAAATGCATAAAAGAACACATACTGGAGAGAAACCCTATGATTGTAAGCAGTGTGGTAAGGCCTTTGCACGTCTCAGTCAACTTCAAAGGCATAAAAGAACACATACTGGAGAGAAACCCTATGAATGTAATCAGTGTGGTAAGGCCTTTGCACGACACAGTAATCTTCAAGTGCATAAAAGAACACATACTGGAGAGAAACCCTATGAATGTAATCAGTGTGGTAAGGCCTTTTCTCAAAACAGTGTTCTTCAAACACATAAAAGAACACATACTGGAGAGAAACGCTATGAATGTAACCAGTGTGGTAAGGCCTTTGCACAACACAGTCACCTTCAAAGCCATAAAAGAACACATACTGGCGAGAAACACTATGAATGTAATCTGTGTGGTAAGGCCTTTGCATGGCACAGTGATCTTCAAAGACATAAAAGAACACATACTGGAGAGAAACCTTATGATTGTAATCAGTGTGGTAAGGCCTTTACACGACACAGTAATCTTCAAGTGCATAAAAGAACACATACTGGAGAGAAACCCTATGAATGTAATCAGTGTGGTAAGGCCTTTTCTCAAATCAGTATTCTTCAAACACATAAAAAAACACATACTGGAGAGAAACCCTATGAATGTAATCAGTGTGGTAAGGCCTTTTCTCAAAACAGTGTTCTTCAAACACATAAAAGAACACATACTGGAGAGAAACCCTATGATTGTAATCAGTGTGGTAAGGCCTTTGCACGTCTCAGTCATCTTCAAAGGCATAAAAGAACACATACTGGAGAGAAACCCTATGAATGTAATCAGTGTGGTAAGGCCTTTGCACGACACAGTAATCTTCAAGTGCATAAAAGAACACATACTGGAGGGAAACCCTATGAATGTAATCAGTGTGGTAAGGCCTTTCCTCAATTCAGTATTCTTCAAACACATAAAAAAACACATACTGGAGAGAAACCCTATGAATGTAATCAGTGTGGTAAGGCCTTTTCTCAAAACAGTGTTCTTCAAACACATAAAAGAACACATACTGGAGAGAAACCCTATGATTGTAATCAGTGTGGTAAGGCCTTTGCACGTCTCAGTCATCTTCAAAGGCATAAAAGAACACATACTGGAGAGAAACCCTATGAATGTAATCAGTGTGGTAAGGCCTTTGCACGACACAGTAATCTTCAAGTGCATAAAAGAACACATACTGGAGAGAAACCCTATGAATGTAATCACTGTGATAAGGCCTTTGCATGTCACAGTGATCTTAAAAGGCATAAAAGATCACACACTGGAGAGAAACCTCATGAATGTAATCAGTGTGGTAAGGCCTTTGCACACCACAGTAATTTTCAAAGCCATAAAAGAACACATACTTGAGAGGAACCCTATGAATATACCCAGTGTGGTAAGGCCTTTGCCCTTCTCAGTCATCTTCAAAGGCATAAAAGAGCACATACTGGATAGAAACTCTATGAATGTAATCAGTGTGTTAAGGCCTTTGCTCAACATGGTGCTCTCAAATGTATAGAAGGACATATACTGGAGAGAAACCCTATGAATGATAACAGTGTGATAAGGCCTTTGCAGACCCCTGTACTCTTCAAAGGCTTAAAATGTAACATACTCTAGAGATACCTGTGAATGGAATGTGGTAAATTCTTTTTCACAATTTTCTCCAAATACATAATATGAGCCCTTCTGTAGAGAAACCCTGAAGATAATTTGGATACTTTTCAAAAATATGAGAAAAAAATCATACTGTAGTGAAACTATAAATGAATTCAGTGTCATAATGTTTTGTGTTTTATATAAGAGTAAGACTTAGTGTGTAGTCATCTGAGAAAGCTTGTGCATATTATCATAATCTTTTGGACCTGATGAAAAAGCTGGGTGCTTCTTTTAAATTGTTCTTTTAGCTGTCAAGCCACTTACAGTCAGTTAACAAAAATCAGTTATTGTGTACAAAAAAGTTTGAAAATGTCAACAATTTGTTCATGCATCATTATAACTCTCTTTATTTTAGTTTGAACCAGCAAAGTAATGGATAAATCCTTTTCAGTTACAGGAAGGGTATTCCAACTTTGGTCTTCAAACCAGAGCCAAAGGAAAGAACTTTGTCTCTGAATCCAGAACTAGATAATGAAACAACATCTCCCTGAAAACAGCCAAAACATTAAAAGGCCCAGTGAAAGAAAAACACAACTTGGTTCTCAAACCAGAACCATAAAATCCTAAAAAGTTTGAACAATGTTTTTAAGCTCAAAGGATATCATTAACTGAAATATGAGAGGCATCAAGAGTCAAATCACTCATACGCTTACTTGTAGGTTTTGTATAAAAGTATCCTTAGAAGTTGGGAATATAATTATAGTTATCAGAAGATTGGGAGTGGTCATCAGGAAGGTAGATAGAAGGTGGTTACAAGGAATATTTTCTGAAAAGGAAAGATGGTTTGAAGTAATAAATGATGGAAACATCACTCTTCACAGTAGCCGCAAATAATATAAAATATTATGGAATTACCAACTAAAGAAGTGAAAGGACTGTTGGAAAAGAACATTAAATCTTTGAAGAAGACACCAGAAAATGGGAAGATGTCCTTTGCCCTTGTTAGGTAGAAATCAACATAGCAATCTACAGGCTCACTACCATTCCCATGTAAATATCAGAAAAATTCTTCACAGATCTCAAAATAAAAACACCCAACTTCATATATAAAAGCCAAAAAAATGCGGGATAACCAAAACAATCCTACATAAAAAATAATTTCTGCAGGCATCACATTCCCTGACTTCTTTAGATGACTGCAGAGCTGCAGTACTGAAGAGAGCCTGGTGTTGGCACAAAAACAGATAGGAGGACTAATGGAACTGATTTTAAGACCCAGACATCACTCCACTCACCTACTACACCTGATTTTTGACAAAACACCAAAAAATATAAAATGGAGAAAACATATTTAACAAATGGTGATGGCATCACTGAATATCAATGTGGGGAAGAATGAAAGTAGATCCACATCTATCATCATGAACAAAACTCAAGTCCCAATGGATCAAAGACTACAACATAAAGACAAACACACTGAACTACATAAAACAGAATGTTGGAAGTACACTTGAACACATTGGTAAAGAGGACCACTTTCAAATTATAACCCCAGGCATCACAGACACTGAGAAAAATTATAAATGAGATTTCCTGAAGCAAAAGTTTCTGTAAAACAAAGGACATGATCAACAATACAAAAAAAGGCAGCCTGTAGTATGGGAAAAGATATTCACCTAAACCACATTGGATAGAAGACTGATCTTTAGAACATACAAAGAACTTAAATAATTGATCATCAAATAAAAAATGGAGTACTCCAATAAAAATGGAGTACAGACCTAAAAAAAAATCTTTTAACATATGAATCTAAAATGACTGAGAGACACTTAAGGAAATTTCCAAACTCCTTAGTCATTAGAGAAATGAAAATCTAAACAAATTTGAGATTCCCTCTTACATCTGTAACAATAGGCATGATCAAAACACTGATGACAACTTAAGCTGGAGAGGATGTGGAGTTAAGGGAACACTCCTGCATTTTTGATGGGGTTACAAACTGAGTCAGCTACTTTGGATATCAGTATGGTTATTCCGTAAATTAGAAAGTCACCTGCCGGGTTGTGAGGCATGGCTTTAATCCCTGCACATTGGGAGCCAGAGATAGATCTCTGTGACTTCAAGGCCAACCAGGTCTACAAGAGCTAGTTCCAGGACAGGCTCCAAAGCTCAAGAGAAACCGTTTCTTAGAAAACCAAAAATTAAAAAAAAATGAAAGAAAATTAGGAAACAACTTATCATAAAACCCAGTCATGCCCTTTGGATATGTACTCAATGGATGCTTAATCATACCACAAGGACAAATGCTCAACTGTGTTCACAGCAATATTGTCAGAGCCAGAACCTGAAAACAACCCCTCCTCAGAAGAATGGAAAAAGAAATTGCGGTATACTTACACAGTAGAGTACTACAGAGTGGATAAAAACAATTACATCTTGAAATTTATGTGCAAATTTATGGACCTAGAAAACATCATAAAAGAGTGAGTTAACCCAGAACCAGAAAGAAAAAATATATGTACTCACTCCTAAGTGGCTTTTCAATATAAAACAGGGGACAGTCAGCCTACAATTCACAATGCCCAGAACATATACAACAAAGAGGAAACAAACAGAGACATACATAAATCTATTCTATATAGGACATAGAGAAAGACAAGATCTTAGTAAATTTGGAACATGTGAATCATGGGACAATGGGATGGGGGAGGAAGGGTGAATAGTGGATAAATATAGTTGAATAAAAAACAATTAAAAAATCCTTGATTCACAGCCGTGTGTGGGTGAATTAAACAAAGTGATAGTATAAAATGAATAGCTGAAATATGGAACTTTTCTTAGTTTTGTAGCTGAATGAAATACTTCCTCTTGCTAAGGCAGACTGATTTATGATATTTAATTAAAAACAATCCACACATTTTCCAAAAGAAAATTAAAGATTTATACCATATCTCCCAATCTTCCCAAACCAATAATCACACATGAAATATTTGAGACGGAAGTGCTTGATTTTACCTAATGTAGCTGCATTCATTCTAAGTTCATCATGTAACACTGAGTTCATGTTTTAATGATGAATTTTGAAGGCTGTACAAGTCAGAGTGACAGACCCTGAACTATGTGAGTACTAATTGAATCTTTGACTTCTGAAAACACCAAGTTAGAGTGTAAGAATACCTTGGGCTTTTATAGGTCAGATGAGCACCTACAGAGCAATGGATCTCATATACAATATAGCTAGCATCCAGAATCAAGAACTGGATTCAAGAGAGCAACTATACCCTTTATAGATTCATTCATACTGTAAGAGACCATGCCCAAGTGCATTGATATTTTAAAGCTGTTGACTGAAGGAGCTCTCACAGCACCTACCCATTTAACTTAATACGAAATTCCAAACCCTATACAAAACTCTGTACACAAGATGTCAAAATTAAAGTTAGAATTACAATAAGCATAATCAATATTAAGGAAGGAATACATCCTAATGGTTTGATAAGCATTTTATCCTAAGGAGTCCATGTTGTAGTAGAAATGGCTTAACTAGATCATAAGAGGATGGTAAGTATGATTATCTCATCTTCAACCCCATCAAAGACCTGAGAAGAGCAATAATATTACTTGAGTAGGCAGGTAGTGCAGTCTAGCACCTTCCAAAAAGTGTAGTAGTTGACAGACAACTGACTGACCAATCAACCAAAGTCTCATCACAGTGTTGAAGAATAAGACTTCATATCAGAATATAAAACAATCTTTAAAGAACTATGCAGTAAAGCAGGACAATGACTTCAAAATGTAAACAATGTATAAAAATCTTGATCAGAGGTAGAGTAATATAATGCAATATGATAAATATATCATAAAATTGCATCAATAAAAATATGTTTTAAACAGGTAGAATCATACATTTATACAATCTGACATAATAACCTTATATAGTTGTTACAAATATTCTAAACAAAAATCAAAACAGTCTATATAATAAATATAATTCGAATTTGTGTCAATATACAAAAGTATACCAATGTAAATCCATAAAAAATATTTCACAAGTATTCCTTCTATTACAAACTTATTAGTAGGAGTAAGTAATCTACCTATTATCCAATTCCATTTTCGCTCATTTTGAGATCTCTGGGTGTACATCATTTCACCCAATCCTATGACCCACCCAGCAGGTCCTAAGTTACTCCAGGGTCTTGAAGAGGCACTATCTGAAAGACTTGGGAGGAAAGAGAAACGGATGCCAAGCAGTATTTTGTCAAGGAATCCGTTTATTGAAGCAAGTTTCATGCCTTAAATACTCCTCAGAAAGGGACTCGGGCAGGGGGAACTCAGGAAAGGGGGAAGGGAAGGAGGGGCTTGGTAGCTAGGCAACTACGTGGGGCAGTTTGAGAGCTAAGCAGGGCAGTTGCAAGGTCAGTGGCTAGAACACCTGCTGTTAGTGATAGCAGCAAGCCCTGAAGACACTTTGTGGTACTTTCCAGAGCTTGAGTCTCCACGATCAGCACATAATGATTTGGCTAACTTTAAGTTTTCTGTCTCAAGATTTTTACTTCAATGCCCTGTGAGAAAGGAGAAGCCTGAAATGGCTCCTGACAATCCTATATTAGTAATAATCAACTCGTAAATGTTGTTCCTGACTGTGACGACAAACTTTGTTGGGAGAGAGAATGGCATCTTCTAGAATTGCTTCCAGGGACGATGTTATTTCTATGGGATATTATAAACGCAAAATGATGGTTAAATTTCAAGATGGCTGTTTTGGA